TCCCATTGAATCACTCTATATGAACCCAGATTTGAACGCCCTCCTAACGTACAAGTTAACCTTGGAGCAGAAAGCAGTATTGGCCGCTGAAATCTCCTTCCTCGTATGAGATCGAAACAAGGCAACGACAATCTGTTATTCGGCGCACTTTTTTGAGAGACGTTGAAAACGTTATTGAGCCCGCGCATCCGAAATCGGATGTAAGGCGGTTACAAAGCGCCTAGCATCAACCGCGTTTCTCTTGCCTGCTAGCACAACAGATTCCAATGACAAAAATTTAAGAACTATTTTGGAACTGCTCAAAACTCCAGATAGGTCTTTCGCTTCCAAAGTTATTAATTTTGGTGTTGTGAATGTTCACACGACAATTTAATGTAAATTATCGCAGCTACGACATCAGAGTTCCTCAGAATGTTTTGGAAGGTGAATTACTGAGCTATATCAAGTGGCAAGATCTAGGATATTTATATAAACGTAGGCTTGCTGTTGAAGTTTTTAAAGTTAAGCAGGGCTTAAACCATAGGCAAAATCGCTTTTAACAAAGGGACCACAACAATTCTTAATAAGGACATAAACTTTTTGTATTACTAAATGTAAATATTAATACCTCTTAAAATTTTGAATATATCTGTTATTAGTTGGTTATTTTCTTTTATTGTAAATAGGTTTCTTCATGTTACTGTAGATAGTATTGTTAATGCTCTGTAAGTTTTCAAATAGTAGATTTTAGTATTTCCTAGGTAGGTCCACATCAGCTATAAAAATTGCCACTACTGACCTGCATTACTAAATAAACTATGTATTTATGTAAGTATGTATGTATGTATGTATGTATGTATGTATGTATGTAGAACTCTCTACTTCATTGCCTACTGAAAAGAATTCTCGTTCTTGAGAAAAGAATTCCCAGTTCTTGTGGCAAGAGTTTCTGAAATAGAGATTCTTCTCAAGATATTCAGATGTAATGCATTCTTACCACAAGAATTCTCTCTTCTGTTCAATCATGTTTCAAGAAACTCGATTCTCCTTGAAAGAATCACCATTAAAATTATTATTCTGATAAGAATTTTGGTTCTTAAGAGGAGAGTATGTCATGTATCTAGGGAATTTGGAGTGACTGATTAATACAGTAAGCGGCGTGTAAGCACCATTAAAGCATTGAGCATAATATCGGATTAATGACTAAACTTCTAGAAAAAACTCTCTTGATGTTATAGTTCAACAAGACTCAATGCATAGTTTTGGCCCAATGCCATGTTTCAGGGGTGACGCTCCAGACAGACTGTCGCGGTCGAGTGAACATCTTTGGTGGCAGCATGGTAACGTGAATATAGGTGGAATTTAATTAGGATTCACTGTCTGTTGCCGTTCCTTCGAGAAAAAAAAGAAGTGTTTACGGGCCTACGCGACTCCTGTTATTCCTCCGTGACAAATTCGCTCTTAGAAGGCAACTTGCGAAATTCACAAAGAATCGAAAATTGAGAATCTTTACCATCAGTAAAAGCCCTTCCAGCGCAACTTGGCAACGCTTGACCGAATCATCAGACATTACGATCGACATATGCTACGGGCTCAAACGATTTACTGTACAGCTACAAACAAATCTTATGCGAGAAAACACGTTTTGATAGTGGTTAAGAACTAAACGAAAAAAAAGAGGAATTTTTTTATAGCGGTTAAGAATTTGGATAAATGAAAAGAGAGTAAACTTACCAAGGGACATGCAAGAAATTAGCACAAGAACAAATATCACAGTCATCTCTACACATTTCACATTTCCCATTTGCGTGCTTGAGGAATCTTTTGTTTTCGTCGTTTGATATAGCCACTGTAGCGCAGGTGGACCGAAAGAAGACCACTGCGGGGGGCACTATGTAGATAAGTGCGTGATCACCACAATATTTGGTCAGCGGTTATTACCCTCATTTATCGGGCAATTCGTTACTCAACATGTTGTGTGTTTTCCGTGGTTAAAGCGAGGAAAGTATCGATATTACTACTCTGATAAAGCTTTCACCGGTAAATAAACTTACGGTTCCTTAAAATTAAGGGATCGATAAGACAATCGCTCAGCCGTAGACATTATCAGCTGTCTTTACGGCCGGAAATTGTTTAATGGACCCCTTCCCCTCCCTCCTGGGTAGTTCCGTCAACAATTTGGAATGTTTTGTCCGAAAAACAAAAATTGAAAATTGATTGCAATTTTCAATTTTCAAATTTTAGACTTCCGCCGAAAACAGAAAAACTAAGCCACGCCACAGACTGCAACATTTTCGGAGAAGCAAAATTGCCGCTCAGTTTGATTTTTCTCCTCATTGTTGACAGGATTAAAGTAAAAATATGCGTTATGTTTCAATACTCTACCAAAAGGAAAAAATGTCAAATATTTTCGATTTGGCACTTTCGTATTTTTTCTGATAACAAAATTTTAAAAAAATCAAAAATTGACATCAATTTTCAATTTTGATTTTAAACAAAAATTGAATGGACGAATGACAAACGGACCATGTCTCGCGCGAATAAGCAAATTTAGGAAATTGATTTTCTGTCACGAACATGAACTTAGTTGTTTTGGCCTTCTTACAGATGTAAACAGCAAAGAAAACAATGACACACCATACTGCAGTCTACAATGCGTTGGAGTGCAATTTGTGGTCTTTGAAAAAATTTACAAGGCTTATTTATTCCAAATTGCACGAGAAAAATCATGTGATAACGTGTTAATAATATACATGAAAAAATACGAGATAGCTAGTCATACTTATGCAGAGGCAAAGCGCGCGCATCAGGTGCAAAAATAACTTATTCAAACCTGCAAGTGACATTGTGCGTTCAGTCAAAACATGCCGTGGACATTTTCAGCTGTCTTTCTAGCCGTCTGAAGAGGTTTATGACAATTTGTGACAATTTGCCATGTAAACGTGTCAAGGTGGGGTAACCCGCCTAGCCGGGGTCGCGTTCATGGCAGAAAGCTCAAAAGCGAAACATGTATGTTTTAGAACTTTGTACATTTCCTAGCCGTCTCATGCCAGAAATCACCAGAAACCGCAACGGCCACACAAGGAGTGTAAAATGTTCACATTTCGGACTTATTCTGAAAGTGACTTATTCTTTTTCTGTTAACTTTGGCGCAGTACTTACGTTAGTCCCCGCATTTCATCTAGCGATTTTAGTATTTCCAATTTGTCATGGCATCGACTAAAAACCGCAAGGCCTTCAATTTGTTCCCTCTGAACCGCAAATCCGGCCAGAAATTGGGCTTCGTGTAGCCTCTTGTTTTCCGAGAGTTATGCATGAATAATGACGGATAGGAAACTAATTATTCAAAGTCTTACAGAAGTTCACTGAATATTGACATAGCGCTTTCAAAACTCTCAAACGTGATAGACATAATTAAGTCTTACCGACATAGGACAGTAGAATTAAAAACGAAACAACGCGGTATTAAGACAACGAAATGTTCATTTACATCAGCTAAAGTAATTATCGAGAACGCTGGCGCATTTCATGTCAAAATCATCAACGTTAACTGTACTTTAATTGTGGAACAGAAGCCAAAGGCCCACTAATTTTGCATCGGGGTAGGGCCAAGTCGATTGGAACAGTTCAATAATTGTTTACTTCGCTTTTTTAAAATTACGACCAGCCGCAGCCTGCGGCGTAGCTCTCATATTGAATACTTCCACCGTGGCTGGGGAGGGTTATTTTTATTAGTCACTTTACTCAGGTGAATATTAGAGCATCTGCATGTCGTGTTATCCCCTTCATTAGACATTTCAAAAAGTATTACGCAACTTCCAGTTAAGAACTTATTATAATAAACTCGTGCGGGTGGCTACCAATGTGTTTGGGACTATTTTATGGGTCGCAATCACGATAACCAAAGTGACGGTTAACGGAGATTTATTGTCGTTGAAAACCAGAATACTAAAACGACCACGATATTAAGACGACCATGTAGCTAAAACAACCAAGTGGCTGAAAACGACCGCAAACTGAAATAATAATACAACTAATTCCTATTAATCGAGGCGAAAACTTCCGAAATATAAGGTAAAAGCATGTGAAACAAGTCTAACTTAATTACAACTGAAATCGCGATGAAAACAAAAAAGCAAAGGAAAAAACTATGTTAAGAGATTCACGCAAATAGTCAATGGCCTAAGCGTTCTCAAACTAAAACATTTCCCATTTGCTTGGAGAATCCATTGAATTGTTTTCGTCATGTGATTTAGCCTCTTTAGCCCAGGTGGACTGGGAAGAGAAGCACCGCGGGGGACTCTTTGTTTATAAATACGATATCACCACAAGCGGTTATTACCTTCCTTTTCTCGGGCAATTTGTTATTCAATATGTTGTGTGTTTTCCGTGGTTAAAGCGAAGGGGAATATCGATAACGCTACTCTGATGAAGCTCTCACCGGTAAGTAAACTTACAGTTCATTGAAATCTTAAGACTAACCTTTACTTTTTCCAATTGAATTAAGTTTAGATACAACCAATCACAAAGATTAATTTGATCATCTGTCACGATTTTTGACCAATCACATTTCATGGGCGAGCTTGTAAATGTTTGAGTGATACACGTCTTTCTTCCCAGAAAGATGGAGCTTTTCCGAGAGTTCAGGAAGTTGATTTTCTGTCACGAAACAAGAGCTTAATTGTTTTGGCTTCCTTACAGATGTGAGCAGCAAAGAAAACATGATACGTCATACTGCAGTCTACGATCGTGTGTTCTGGGTGTTGGTAAATGACTCGACCCTTTTCCTTATAAGTCTTATTAGTCATTTCCAAGTTATATCTGCTCCACAATGGCTGAGCTTGTCTTTCGATTTCCCAGTCTTTGATTGTACTGAGACTAGATTTGTTTTGCCATTTGAAGCATCTAAGAAGCACTCTCTGACAGCGTGTAAAGCTGTGTATAACTTCGCATTTTACGATTTGAAAATGGAATTTTTGAATGTTGTCTCCAAAGAATGGTTTCCAGTCGTTTGAAAACAGTAGCTCAAGTCATCTATTTAATTTCAAGTAAAGTGGTCACTCTTGTGGCTGGTGTTCAGTTCCCAGTTTCTGAACGTCCTATACCAGGAAAAGTAGCGAGATCCAAGAACACTGTGTAGCACATAAATTTTATTCTACGTTGTCCCCTATTAGCTCATATAGCTAAAGTGTATTGGCACTTGAATAAAGTTTATTAGTAATATTATTATTGCGTTCCTCCCTGCATACAAATGT